TAATACTTAACTTAAAACTAATTATAGAATTATTAACGATAGTTATAAAAATTTTCCTTCACCATCAATAAATCCTGTAAATCATTAATTAAATTCATCATCTGTCATGTTTATAGGGTTGAGGCTACCGTTATGTTTTAATGAACTAGTTATTGATCGCTCGATAAAAGGTAGTGGAGATAAAAAAAAAATAATGTAATCTGAAAAGTTTCATTTATTATATTAAAATTAATTAACATAAAAATAGTATAAAAAATTTAAAATTAATACAATTTTAATGAACTGAATTTTATTATTATATAATAAAACGTATTGACTATTAACATTTCACTTTCATTATAAATATAAAGCTTTTAATTCTGTTAAACAAAGAAATTATCATATATTTATAAATAAAAAAATTTGATATTCCTGCAAAATAGCTAATTTTAGCAATAATTAACCTTTGTTTGTAAGGTATAACGGAAAATCCAAGGAGAGAGAAAACCAAAGTTATTACAGGTCCAAATCAAAAGAATATTAAATTTGCTTGTGTAGGTGAAACATTTTCTTTTAATATTAATTTTAATGCATCAGCGAATGCTTGTAAAGTTCCCCAAACCCCAGTAATATTAGGTCCTAATCTTCTCTGCATACTTCCCATAGCTTTTCTTTCAGCTACTGTAACAAAAGCAACAGCAATTAAAACAGGAAGAATCATAAATAAATCATAAATAATAGAAAATATAGTTGGTGATATATTAATTAAATCATAAATTGAATATATTATTGAATATATTTCATTAATTATTTTATTTAAATATTCAATTAAGGTATCTATGATATCTTTATTATTTGATTTATCTATAATTTGTTTTATTTTAATATCAATAAAATTTAGATATAATTCTATATTCAATCTATTTATTTCTGACATTTATTTTATTTGTTTTTCTAATATTTTATTTATTTTATTTATAATATTATTAAATTTAAATCTTATAATAAAGAAAAAATAAAGGAATTAATAAACCTTAATAAAATAACAAAGCAAAAAAATTTGATAAATTTTTATCTCACCGATTATAGCCTTGGCTAATTACCTATTTAATGGTAAACTTTAATAAAAATTTAAATTACTTTGAATAAAAATTAGATTAATAATAATTAGCTACATTATAAATTTTATAACTCAAATTCGTTATTTTAATATTAAATAACAATCATTTAAAACTAAAAAGGCGAACCTCTCTTTGCAAAGCACGACCAATTGTTTTTAAATTTTTAATTAAATAAAAGTTATAATGTTAGAATTATTTAATATTAGAGATTTATAATTTATTTAATGAATTATCTCAAAAATTATTTTTTACCATGAAAATTTAAATTATTTGATAAAGCGCCGCGCGGCCCTTAGGGCCGCTGCACTGTATGTTATTGCATCCGCGTTAATATTTTAAGCGCCTACTAATCATTTAAAATAAATTTTTAAAGTGAATAATTAACATATTAAATTTGCTTTATATTTACCGTATGAAATAAGCAAATAATATTCACCTGAAAATTATATATTCAAAATTATATAAAACTTTAAATTTAATACTTTTTAAAGAAGGCTGACATTGCTAAGCGCTTCTATAAATATGTTTAATTTAAGGATTTCCAAAAATTGATATAACCTTTATATATATAATATAAAAATATTGCCTTTTAATATTAATGAAATAAATAAATTCAATAATATATTATTTTATAAAAACTATAAAAATAAAATTATTTTATAATTATTATTAACTTCAAGTATAAAAATGAAAAATTATTAAATTGGCAAATATTATTAAAAACATAATTAGTTTAATTCACTTTATAAATTTGATTTTAAATTTAAGTATAATATATAAAAAGAAGGGAAAACTTTTACTCCTTAGGTCCTACCGCTACAACGCAACAGCACACTTCGTGTGCTGCGTGCCGTTTAATAAATTATTAAAATATTATTTTTAATTTATTAAATTTAACTTTATTAATTCGATGAAATTATATAAATTACAAATTAAATATTAAATTTTTATTTTTTTTTTTATTTTTAAGATTAAATTTAATAAAAGAACTTATCTTATTTTATTAAAAATAAATAATATAAAACAATTAAAATACGTAATAATTTTAAATTTAATTAAACATAAAAAGTTTATAAATAATAAACAAAATTATTTTATTTAGAAATCCGGCCGGCCGCCTTTAAAGCGGCCGGCTGGATTTCATCGCGCACGCGGCGAAGCCGCGTGCGCGCCGAAATCCTATTCAAGATTTGAACTTGAATTTAAATATTAGAAGTATTTTGCTTTGCCATTAAGCTAATAGGACTAAACACGTGCCTAAATTGCAAAATGAAAAAACTCCCTACACTTAAAAACTTTTTATTGACCTGCTTTCTTACCCTTCCCCCTCCCTTAAAAATTTAATTACTTTTTAAAAAAAGTTATTAACCTTTTCTCACCTTTAATAAAATTTAAATAAAATGTTATGTTGGAGTGATTCGAACACTCAATTATAAATACCAAAAATTTATGACTTGCCTATTAGTCTACAACATAAATAATAAAATATTTTTCTAATAAATTTTTTCATCTTTTAATAATTAACTTTTAATAAATAAAAACTAATGAATAATATAATTTAAAATATTAAAAAAATTTTTTTTATAAACGGCTTTTTATTTCAAAAATTCGTAAACGTTTTTAATATTTAAAACTAAATAGCACTAATAAAAATTATATTTGATTAAATTCAGGTTAGCCACCGTTTCGCTGCGATTGACCATCACGTGCTACATAGTAGTACGCAACTCTTGAATTATTATTAGATTTTTTTATTTATAGTGTCGTGTACAATGCGTATTACATTATCGGTTATAAGAAATATTAATATTTAACGAATGCTTCATGCATATGAACCTTAATATATTTTTAATATATTCTATTCTGATTTTATAAATCGACGCATCTAACGTACTAATCATAGAAGCCTTAGTGATACCACATATAATTTATATTACTTATAATACTATTAAATGCATAATAAATATTTTTATTGTAAATATTCAATATTTAGAAAAGACAAATGAACGTAAAGTGCCCATAATAGGACTCTATATTCTTTACCCTTTATCATAATAATTTATAATTTTATTATAATAAATTTTAAATTATTAAATTAATACTTCCTATATAAAATTTACTATATAAATTATTAATTCACCATTCTATATTTATTTTAATATAAAAAAATTTTTAATATATAATGGTTAATTATAATGTTATTATTAATATGTAAAAATTTTAACTTAATAATGAACTAAAAATTTATAAATAAATTAGATATCAATTTCAATTCTTATACTTATAAACTCCTCCCTTTAATCTATATTATTATATTTAGACTTTTTATACAATACATCTTGTATATAATAGACCCTTTTTGTTAGCCGATTTAAAATATATCAATATATTAAATTAATAAAATTAATCATCAAATATTATAATATATTTCTATTTTCATTTTTTAATTATCATTATTATCAACATTTCAATCATTATCATTTTTGTAATCTATATTAATATAATCTTTATATTTATTACAATAAAGTGACATTACACCTAAATTAATTTTATATACTTTAAAAATTTAATAATCAAAACCAAAAATCTAAAATTTGATTTTTAAATTTTTTAATTTTAATAACTTTAAAACCTTTATTTATCATTTATAAGTTTTGATTTTTATGAGTAATTGGTTTAATAATATTTTTATTATTTAGATTTTTCTAAATTTAATCCATTTTTATATTTATTATCTTTATTGGTATATCCTTTATATATTATATTTTGTTTTCGTTTACAAACTTTTTATAAAATTTCTAATTACTAAATCTACAATATTTTTTTTGTTAATATATTATACTTTAAATTGAGAATTTACCGCTCGGGTCCATTATTTCGGGCTTTGGAACTCGTATTATAATGTTTATATATTAAATATTCAGTTTTTACCTAATATACTCCACCAGGGCGCGTAGCGTCCCTGGTGATAACTAAAAGTTTAATAAATTATTGTCTATAGCAAAAAATAAATTTAAACCTTATTTTTTATATAAATAAACAATGTAACAATCTAATTTTTATTTTACGGGTGGCGAGACTCGAACTCACAAGGTTTTCACCAATAACTCCTAAGGTTACCATGTTTACCAAAATTTCATCACACCCATTAATGATATATTAAAATTTTATGAAATAAGCTTATAACATTAAGTTTTTATTTTTATTCTATCAATTTTTTCAAAAATCATTAAAGGCTTTTATTTAAAAAACCTATCATATATAAATATTAAAAATCATAAATTTTTTTATCTATTAAATATAAAATTTAAATCTTTAATATTAACGCATTTAATAATTTAATATTAATTATATCCTAGGCTTTATTTGTTGTAATTAATAAATATAAATTTATTGTTTATATTTAATTGATATAAAATATTGCTCAAGATAAGATTTGAACTTACAGCCTAAACATCTTCAGTGTTCCGCTCCACCAAATTGAGCTTCTTGAGCGTTAATTATTTAAATTAAACAAAATTAATAACTATCCAAAAAAATAAAATATCAAAAATAATTAATTTTTAGTATAATACCGCGCTTAACGGTATAACATTTTAAATAAGATGCTTCCTTAGACAAAACTAAAATAATTATAATAATAAATTTTTTAATTATAATTTATCTAAACCTATATTTATTTTTATAATTGGGTTTATATAAATTTAATTTCATGCGCTTCGCGCATGAAAAGAAAAAATTTTTTTATACAACCTATGTCACTTTAACGTAAATTCATTAAAACATTATTTAATTGTGATTCTTATATAAAGCAAAATCACCTTATTATCAAAAAAAAATAATCAAAATATTTAAAATTTTAAATCAAAAAAATTTTTTATAGTTATTGTAAAATTTATATGGAGATATCAGGATTTGAACCTGAAACGTCGATATGCAAAATCAAAGTTTTACCAATTAAACTATATCCCCTTTAGTTTACTTACACTATTGATAATAAAAGCAAATATAAAAATAAAGCAATGTACCGCGCAAAGCGCGGCTACATTGCAAAACGCCTCTTACGTAGCCCCTCGCTTTTAATAAATTTAACCATTTATCAACCAAATAATTTAAAATTATTTATAATTAGTCTTTAATATAATTTAAAAGATTGGTTAAGTTAATGATCTATATGCTGTTTTATCTTTTTCATTTTTAATATTCAATACTTCAAAATTTTGCCTTTCTAAAGAAAACAAAATTTAATTTAAAGATTAAAAATCTAATTTTTTATTTTTCCTTAATAATAATTTAGACATTTACGATTTTATATAAAATTTATTTTTCTATTTATTTATTACTTATAAATATAATGATATAATTGCTTAAATCTTTACTAGCGACATATCAGATATTATATATTAATTTTTACCTTAAAATAATTATTACATCAAAATATAAAACTTTTTATATTGGAACAAAAAATAAAAATATTATATAAACTATTTTAATATAATTTTTATAAGACTTCGCTTCCAAGCAATCTTATCGCACCCTTCTAGCTGGACGCACCATTTTTTTAATTAAATATTTATTTCATATCTATAGACGTTGGTTCAACCCGATGATATTAATAAACTTAAATTTATTAAATTTCATTATTACAATAAATTTCAGTATTATAAACGCTTCATTTATAAGATACACTATAAAATTAATTTATATTTTTAGTCGATTAATAAATCCCATAACAACACAATACCTCTTAAATCAAATATCATCTCTATATATATTGAATTATTTTTCTATGTACATAATAACTCTAAAGAGTTACAAAATTTGATAAATTCCTAATCTTAAAGCAATTTTTTATTTCAATATATTTTAAATTAGAAAATTATCAAGTTTTTAATATAGTAATCATTAGCCAAATATATATGATTGTTTTGATATTTAAAGATCATCATTATAAAATATGTATGCTTATTACAATAATAATATTTAAGAATTAAATAAACCAATCATGACAATCATAGCGCGCTATGATTAAACAAAAAAAAATCCTTACCTAAGGAGTGACTTGAACACCCATGAGTTATCTCAGAAAATCTTAAGTTTCCCCTGTCTACCATTTCAGCACTTAGGTTAATGAATATTAAATAGAATATTAATATATAAAACTTAATATTAATATTTTTATTATAAATTTTTTTAAGTAAGTAACCTACCTTCATTCTTCTGTTCACTTAGACCCTAACTAAATGAAAGAATTGCTAAATATTATGATAATATTAATAAAAAAAAATCAATTATTAAACTATTAATTATTATAGATTTTAATAAGGCTAGAATGGCTTGAACACTCATCTAAGCTATTATGAGCAGCTTGCTTTACCTATTAAGCTATAGCCTTTAAACAATTAACAGAAAATTAATTTTTTAAATATGCCTTTTAATGCGGACAGAGGAATCGAACCTCACCTCTACCGGGCATGAGCCGGTAATGTTCTCCACTACACCAGTCCGCAATTATTAAAAATTTTTTTTATAAAACGAAATAAAACATAAAATTTTGAACCTTATAATGTTTAGCTCAAGGGGAGCTCGAATCCCCATCTCAGTAGTGAAAGTACTATGTCTTAACCTATTTGACCATTGAGCCTATAGATTTTGTTAATTAACTAAATTTTTAATATTATTTTTATTTGAAAATATACGAAACATCACGGGATATTTATACTAAAATTATTAAAAATTATGAAATAAATTTTTGATTTATATAATTAATTTTTATTTGATTATAAAATACAGAAAATTTAAATTTAGAATAACCCACATAATTTTACCATTTTATAAATAAAGACAATATTTTACAATAATAATCATTAATTATTATTGTAATAAAACCAAAACAATGTCTTGGTCTTTTACAACCCTTACATATCAAACCTAATAGATTTAGTTTTTATAAATAAATTTTTAAAAAACATAATATATAAAAGAATATTAATCAATAATTATAACTCATTAAAATTTTATAAGTATAATTATAAATAAAACTAGAATAAATTTTAATATAAATTATTATTAGTATATAATGCTAGTAAAATATAAAATTATCTTACTTATAATAAATATTTAAATTAATACTTTTTTATTTTATATAAATCTATTTAATACATTTTTATATTTGAAATTTCATAAATAATTATTAAAAATTTATAAAAATAAAATTTTAATAAAATAACTAGGATTTAATTCCTATAAATTTAAATAAAAATTAATAATAAAATTAATTATAAATAATTCAGCACCAGTCATTTACCCTTAATAAATTAAATTTTATTAGTTATTACCACCCGTATATTGACTATACTGGAGTTGCCCCCCTTAGTTAATATTACGCTTTTAACATAATTTAAATTTTATTAGTAAGTTACCGTAACGACTAATATTATAAATACCTTAAACCTTGTGATATTTAAAAATTTTATAAATTAAAAATTTTTTAAATAATTATTATACTTTTTTTTTAACTCCCTCTATGGCTTTATTTCCCATTAACTAAAAAAAATATTTTATTTATTCAACCTTAAACTTATTTAATACTACTACGCAGCCTAACAGCGAAGTGCCTGGTCACTAAATTTTTTGTTAATTTTATATTTTTAATTATTTTTATAAAATTAATTTATAAATCTATATTTAAAATATTTAAATTTAATTAATAATAAATTCTAGTGCTTCGCACTGGATTTTATCATTCTTAATTTAATAACTACTTACGATCCACATTAGCATTCAACACATGTCCACACGCTAGATACTACTGTTAACCAAATGTAATATTTAAAAAGAATTTATAAATATTTATTAAACTCAGTGTAAGAATCGCACTTACTTTTTCCGATTACAAAACGGATACATTACTTTTATGTTAACCAAGCTCTTAAATTAATATTATAAAACATTTTTAATAAATTTAAATCAAAATTTTTAATTCTAGTAATAATAACTTTAAATTGGTTTTCCATTCTTTTAATACAATTCTATAAAAATGATTAATTTTATAAATCTAGATTTATAATAAAAATTATATAATTCAATATTAAATATTAATTGAATTATTTTAAATTTATAAAATATTTAAATATTTTTAAAATTTAGTCGGGACGCTACCGTATGCCGCGCCCTAACATTAAAGTGTAGCGCGCGGACATCTTTTTAAAGTTTTGAGTCTTATTTAAATAAAATATTAACGATAAATGTATTGTAACATAAAAAAAAAATTAGATCTTTATACCTAAAAATATTAAAATCCTTTCAGCTAAAGCCTAATTATTATATATTAATTAATATATATAAAAATTTATATACTATTTATTATATAATTATACGTAGTAGTATTCTACGTTTTTAAGAGTATCCTAAAGTTAGTTTCAAACTTATATGCTTTCAGTTCTTTACTCACCGCCAAATTATAACTCAGAAATTTTATTTGTAATAAAAATGTCTTTAATTTACATTATAAATTAAAAATTACACTGAGAGCGTAAAAACATAGCTTTCCTGCCGTGCCTATGCTATTATTTACTTAAGTGTCAGTAAAATTCATTTTGCATTATATTTTTAGTATAATAACAATTAATATCGTCCACATAAACAACAGGTAAACCAGAGGTTATTATTCCCAGTTCCTTTCGTACAAAGGGCCTGTTTTTAATTTACTCTAACTACCACTAGAAGATAGAAACCATACTGTCTCACGACGTATTTAACCCAGCTCGTGTAGCTTTTTAAACGACGAACAGTCGTACCCTTCAGACTTACTGCGTTCCTGAGGATAAGCTAAGCCGACATCGCTTAATTTAGCTTATCCATATATTTATTATTTGTTACATCATAAGCTTAAACTTATGATGAGAAAATTTTTCTTCCATCTATTACAAGATGGTTCAGATTATATCTTCACCCAGTATCAAAGAGTAATTGATAGTTACTCTGGGTGTAGGCGTGTAATCGTTGAGGGGTTATTTTTATTAACTTCCCTGCTGATTGTCCAATTATTATTTATTACATTTTACATTGATATAAAACAGATTTAATAATAATTTAGGATATTCCAGCATATAGCCTATTTCTAATTTTATATTACTAAAAAACCTCCCCGATGTCACATTTATATTATATTATTAACACACAAAAAAATTTGCTTTTAATCCTCCCACTTTCCCTATTACCATAAAAGTAAATTTGAGAACATTTAGTTATTATTTAAAAAATAAATTTTAAAGTATATAACTAACTCCGAATTCTATACCAAAGAATCCGAATGCAAATGCAAGCAATAATAGCTATCTTCAACAATTTAATTGTTTTGCTAAAAATGAATCTTATATAACATAGATTGATGAAAATAATCAACGACCAAAGGTTGTAAAACATGTAATGATTTTCCTGAAATGTAAATACGGAAGTAACCTTTGTTAGGATTTTTATTGTGAATAGTACATTTTAATTTATACTTATTTTCTAAGACAGATTTTAACAATTGTACATCATCATAAGTATAATTATCAGTACACAATGTCACACCTCCATTTTTTACATGCTGCCCATCATTTTGTAGTCAAAAAGCTAAAGCTCCAGGAGTTAATAATTCTTTTATACAAGGTGGAACAATTTTTACATATTTTGTACTATCTTTTTGTTTTTTTAAAAATAAATTAGCAAAAGGAAAAAAAGTAATACTAGCCTTTGTTCTAAAATTATAAGAAAAATTTTTTTTATCATAACGTTTATCAAAAGAAATACGTTCCCCAATTTGAGGTTGAGTAGCATATTCTTTCATAATATTAAAAAGATAAAGTAAATATTCTTTATTAGGTAAGCCTTGATCAAATCCTATGGAAGCATTTCCATTAGGATTCATATTAAATGTAGCATCACCTAACCCACAACCTATTATAAGATCTTTATGCAATTGCGATAAAGCCAAAGTTTTCACCAAATGAGACCAGTTATTATGACAATTCATTTTTATTTATATCTAGACTATAATTAATGTGTGTGTAAAAGTAAATAATATAATTTTTGTGTTTTACAAGGTGCCAAACTGCGCTCCCAATGTGTACTCTCAAGCGCAATCAGCCTGTTATCCCTAGCGTAACTTTATTCTATAATACGGAACCAGTCCTTTGTGCATTCCGCGATCGTATGCCCCGCTTACGCGACTGATAGACGCGTAGGTCAAACAGTTAAGCAAGATTATGCCATTAAACTTGACAAGTAATTATCAAAATCACTATTCACAATATTGAAATATTGGATTTTAGCAACTTTAAATACATATTACATTTTCTAATTTTCATACAATTCATACTAGACAGTATAAGCCTGCAGAACATTAGAAAATGTGAATTTTATTTATTACACCTATCCTCGATATAGTTAAAATCTTACTTGCTTTAAAATTAAATTTTACTTTAAATAAAAAGATAGTGATTAAATATATATAGAGATAAGTAATATCTTATCCACTTATATATAAATTCATCTTAAAAATCGGCCAATCGCCATAGGCGATCGGCGAAATATTAAATTTATATAAAATTTATATATTAAATAAAGACTCAAAAGAAAAAATATATAATTTTTTCCCCAAATTTTTCGGAATTAGGATATACCCAGCTACTCTTTATGGGATCTGTGCCCCGCATAAACTGCCACCTAGCCGTTGTTCTCATTTCTTATTACCTTTGTGAAAAATCAACTTTTATGTATTTGTGAAAATATCACACTACCCTGTAGTTTATAGAATTTACAACTAAAAATATTTAACTTTAATTCTCAGGCAATAATAGTTATTGTATCACTTTATACTATTATTGAATAATTAATACTGGTTGATAAGTAGAATAAGTCATTTTATTTCATTCAAAATAAAGTGGAGGACAATGTAGTCCCCAGCAATGTGATAGACTCAAAAAGGTGTTTCAATTACGTTTAACCAACTACCTTATCCCTACGCTTGGTCCGATCACACGCAATGACTAGCAACAGTAAAGCTGCATAGGGTCTTCTCGTCTATCTAGAGGTATACAGTATCTGCACTGCAATTCCAATTTCACTGAGCCAATCTTCGAGACAGCTGTTGTATCGTTACATCATTCATGCGAGACCATATTTAGTGGCCAAGGTATTTTGCTACCTTAGGACCCTCATAGATAAGGCCGCCATTAACCGGGGTATCCTTCAAAACCAGACCGACATTTATAATAAATGCAGCCCAGAAACTCCGTTAACCAGCCGGCATCGGGCAGACATCACACTCTATACTTAGACTTTCATCTTAATGCAGCGTGCTTTGTTTTAATTAAACAGTCGGACAACACGATTCTATGCTTCCTTATCCAAACCGATATTAAACGGGGGATCGGCACTCCTTCTCCCTAAGTTACGGTAGTTAGTTTGCCGAGTTCCTTAAAGATTGTTCACTCAAGCGCCTTCGTATTCTCTACTAGCTTACCTCTTGGTACTTAGGTACGGTTTTATTATCGTAAAGTTAATAATAACTTTACGTTGTTTATTGCTTTTCCAGAACACTTATACACCCATATAAGGTTGTTACAATAATCACAAGATTTTTCTCATCGTTTAGACCTTTAGGTCAATTAACTTAGAGGCCGTTACTTATATAATACCATAAGCTTAAGGCGAGGTAAAAAAAATTTTTTTTATCCTTTTTCGTTACTCATGTCAGCATTCTCACTTGGGTTAATCTTTTTTTTATTCTTAAAAAGAATAATTGAATATTATCACCCAACGTTCCGCTACCCCATAATTAAATTAGATAGACCATCTCTTAATTTGGATACCAACTATAATTATGGACAAGGTGTCGGTATATTGTTTAGATCCGATAAATTTTAGATGTCTCTATCCACCGGAGGTCTTCCGGTGTTGAATCAGTGCTCTATTACGAGGTCTTTAAAAAATGGCCGCCACTAAGCCCATTACCTGATCGAATAAGATAAAAACTCTCTTTATTTCACTTGACAATAATTTTGGAACCTTATATTTACACTTGTTCTGGGCTGTTTCCCTTTTGACATACAACCTTAGCATACTATGTCTGTTATTTTTACATTCATCACTGCCATTCCGAGACCTATTACTTAACGATAAAATCTTCACGATTCCCCGATATAATTGAAAAATATCTCCTCGACTAGCCATGTAAGATCAAGTTCTGTACCTGCATGATGTTAGTTAAAATTACGTACTTAGATACGTTTCGCGGAAAACCAGCTATCCCTAGTCAGTTTTATCTTTCACCAAGCTTACCACAATTCATCGGATATTTATGCAACAATAACCCGTTCGAGCTTTTGTGACTCTGATCATGGTAAGATCACTAGGTTTCGGGTCTAATTTTAGATACTTATCACTATTGTATTGACCGATTTATCTAGGCAGTTATTGCTCGCATCTAATATTAACTTGCTGACCCATTATGCAAAAGGTACGCTTTTAATGTTATTTAAATTTTCTTCTCAAGCTGCTTATAAAACTACTAATTTTTCAATTCCCTCACGGTACTCTACGCTATCGCTCAATATATCATATTTAGCCTTAGAGGAAGGTTCCCCTTTACTTATTCAAACAAGTCTTAACCCATTCTACTTGTTAATTTTTATTTGTACCATACTATGGTTTTAGTTTACATAGGTTTTTATATTTATAAAACTTTTATTTACTTAATATTATATATTAACTTTAAAAATTTTCCTAAAAATTTTTAATAATATTTAATGTTTTTATATTACCCGATTGTACCTAAACTCTCCCATATGTATTGGAAGGCTTCTCTATTTTCATTCTCACTAATCATAGAATCTCTTTTGATTTCTTTTCCTAAAGTTATTAAGATATTTCAATTTACTTCGTTTATTACTGAATTTCTCTTAGAGTTCATGTTTTTTTAACCAGTTTTATACTGATTTATACAAATTAAAATTTCTCTCTTTGATATATTGCAATGATTCCCTAATAGTTTCTTTCTATATTTTTCTATATTTAGAAAAATGAAGTAAAACAATATATTCTATATCGTTAAGACACTTTTAATTCTAATTCATTTAAAAAATTTTTATTTAATATTGATATTCGGATTATTATGGCTCGAACATAAGAATTCCTCAACCCAAATGAGGCGCCTTTCCAACCTGGCTCTAATCCGTTTATTAATTTTAACAGAGAATATCCGATTTGAACGGATGTGACTAAATATAGCCAAATAAGACTCAAGCTTATCACCATAAACCGGGCTCGGTCAATTCTCTTATTAAATTTTCCTTATCCATTTTAGAACTTTGTGTTATTGAAGGCTAATATGTAATTTCATTTTAATAAAAATAAACTTTAAATTATTTGATAAAACTTTATAAATGATAAGATAGCGACCAAGTTTTATTGTGTATATCATATTCGAGATACACTCCACTTTAGCAGTACTAAAAGCAATTATTTTCGCTATTCATAATACCAAAACGCTTCTTAAAACCATATGTGATTTTCAACGCATATGGCTTTCCTTTACCCTATGACCAATTACGCGCTTTGCCGGTCTTCATCCAAGGACCAAACCTTAGATTGATTTTACTATTATAAAAACCGACATTTCTATGTAACGGTGTTTAATGTTTGGTTATCGTTGATTCACTTTTTCGTTGCATACCGTTTATTATTGAATATCCCTTACTAGCATTTACAAGCTTTGGACAATACCATATTTTATTGAGTTTTTTTGGCCTTTTAAATTTTTCTATTTAATTTATACGGCCTATTTTTAAGACTATGATTAATATAAATGGTTAACCATATAAATAGGTATTGGCTTATAATATTACTACTTGATAATCCAGTAGGATTTAAATGACTCTACTAATAAATTAATTAGATTTTATTAATCACTAACTTACATTTGATTTTGCTACCATACCGACTTTACTCGAAATTACCAGCATGCTACATTATTATCCACTTTCGGATAAACTCATTATAGTCCATTTCTAAAGGGCCAATCGTTATAGAAAAGTCCTCACTTACAAGGTACAAACTTTTTTTTGATTGGCCCAAAATATTTAAAACAGCACTTTATAACTTTATATTAAATTTTTAATTTCGTTATTTTAAAATTCCTATTTATTAAATTTTTAAATTTAATTTTTATTTAAACAATACAAAATTTTTAATATAATTATTATATAAATAAATATAAAATTTATATAATAAATTTTATATTAAAAAATTTTTAATAACCGTTAAAAGGCAAAATTTATATCAACATTAAATTATTATAAATTTATTATTTATTCAATTTACGTAAAAAGTTAAATATTTATTTTAATTATAATTAAAAATATCATTAAATGATTCTTTCAAGATTCGAACTTGAATAGTATTCTTATCAAAAATATACTTTACCGTTAAGTTAAAGAATCTATAATAATTTTTTTATTAAAGGAAATTTAAAATATAACTTTACTTTTCATCTAATCAAAAATAAAAAATTTTTATGTAATAATTTTAAATAAAAAAATTTTTTATCTTTTAATTTAAACAAGTTAACTATTAAGTAGAGTTGCCAACCATCTTTTTTCATAGATGGTTTTTATTTAAAAAAGCACTTTTCAACGTATACAGCCCTCCACTAAATTAGTTCATTTCAAAATTATGCTTATCCCCTCACCACCTATTGAAAAATTCTGGTTGATTTTATTTCCAAATTCATTATAATGAGATTTACTCCAAAGCAAGATTACATGGGCATATCTTTGAGTTTAGTTATATCATTTTAAAGGTTCTATTAGTTTTAGAATTATTGATATTGCCTACAATCTTCAGATATTTAATAATCTTATATTTAATTTGACGTCTTTTGCTCATATTAACTATTTATTTTTCGTAGAGTATACGACCAGTTTATATTATAATCTTAAATTGATTCAATGCATGATAAAGACTAGTATAGGCTTTAAATCTTATATTAAATTACCACTATTTGTCTATTAAATTATTAACTTGTTAACAGTATAATGTTTTCCTTTTTAATTTAGTTTAGCTCAATATTGTTTCAGCTATTCAAAGAGTTTGTTTAGTTCTTACTAATAATTGAGTTAAATGAACTATTATTTTGTCCCCCCCCCCGTTATCGACAATAACCATATGCGTTTCAATAAGTTTTAGACATGTTATTTCCATAATTTAAGTCAATTAGTTTATCGTCCCGCTTCCGTAAGACGGATTAATTAAAAGTAATTTATAAAAAATTTTACTTGTCCCTTTTGACAGACATAGAATATTAAAAGTGGCGTATAATTAAAATATAAAAATTCTAATTTTTAGTTTTATAATTTATTTAAATTTATAAATAACAAAAATTTGGACATTTTTAATTTATATTAATTTTCTGTAGATTGTTATAAGACGTTTTTGTGAACTAAGGTTAAATTTTTTATCTTGTATCTTCCAACAAAAATACAAGAGCACTCAGGTTTGAACTGAGAAACAAAAGGTTGAAGCTTTTTATTTTTCCTATTAAATTATACTCTTAAATTTTAATCTATTTACAGAAAAGAGATGATTCGAACATCCATGTGTTTCCACAATATTTAGCAAATATTTTACCCTACCTATGGCTACTTTTCTTTTAGCTTTTTTTAAAATATAACTAATACTGCTTATAAAAGGTAATATTTAATTTTTAAGTTTATTTTAAAGCAAAATTAATTTAGATTCATACTTAAATTTTATAAAATTTATATACCTTATTAGAAATTTTATATTATATAAATTTTAAACTATTTAATTATATAATATAAACATTTATAAAATTATTAATTTTTTACAAAATATAAAAATACAGCTTTAATTATTTTAAAATATAGAAATTTAAAAATAATTAAAAATATTTTTATTATACTTTATAAAATAAATATTAAGCAAATTATAAAGTACAATATTTCGAGTCAGACCGGATACGATCCGGCATCTCCATCCTCGACAAGGATAGCCTTTACCTATTAAGTTACTGACCCCCCCCTCCTCTAACGTTCCGCGCGATACTAAAATAAATTATGTAAAATAAATATTTTTATTTAAAAATTAATTACTTAAAATTTTATTAGCCTTTGAAACTATTTAAAAATTTTTAAGGTTTATATAATACATTTTTAATTAGTAATTTAAATTGATTAACTTAAGTTATTTATATATTAAACTTTAATGTGGCTAGCTGAAGTCGAATCAGCACAACACAGGTGGAAGCTGAGCAGTCTACCATTAACATATAGCCACTTTGGAGCTTAAATTAAGCTATGTAATAATATATTATAGAGTTCTAGAGGAATTGAACCTCTAACTGAATGATTAAAAGTCATATGCTCTACCTAATTGAGCTAAGAACTCCCTTTTTCTACCCCCCCCTTATTTAAAATACTATTATTTATCCTTTAAATTATTTTTAAATTTTAAAGGTTATTTTAAAGTTGAATTAAATATGGAAAAAGTAATAATAATTCGTCTAAATAATTTTATTTTTAATATTAATTTTTATATAACCTCCTTATAATCTATATTTTTATCAATAAATTTTTATTATATATTATTAAAAGTTGTATTTAATTTTTGTAATAAGCCCTTATTAATTATGAATTAATATTATAAATTATGAAAATTAAAAAATTTTTTTATAATTAATTCAATAAATTTTACTTACCCCTGCTTGCTAAAAAATTTTTAATAAAAAATATACTTTATTCCGTTGTATAAACCAATTAAATAATATAAACTTTTATTATTATTATTTTTAATATTTATTTCATATTAATTTACATTTATTTTATATTGTTAACAAAAAATAAAATTTAATAATTTATAATATCATATTCTAACTTTGGGTTTTAAATATATAATTAAATAAATCTAAAAATTATTTTTACAATACGGTTCCCTCCAGGGAACCTTTATTATTATTCAATATATCCTCTTGTTTTGTATCTAATACTAATCTGTTCAACTAAAAAATTTTACCTTCTTATTTTGACAAACTTTAAATAATTTTTATTTTTACAACAGTAAATCAAAAATAAAAATTATTAAAGAAATTATTTAATTTTTTATAAATGAACATCAAACTTGAATTTTAATTATTTTATTTACAAATTTAAAGTTAACTTACCTAAGCCTAATTTAGACAAATAATTAAATTATACTTTATCTTTTTTTTAAGGGGGGGGATATGGGTTTAGAATTAAGGTTTTGTATTTTTTTTATTACTTATTTTACCCCTTTTTTGACTTTTTGAATGATGATTTTTTTTTTATTTTTAACCTTTTCAGGGACTGAATTTGAATTTTGGATTTTTACTACACTCCCTTATGAGATGAGATTATAAATTTCATCTCATTATATATTTTATATACTTACTAGGGATTTATCCTTATTTGTAAATTTTATTTTAACCCTCAGAGTAGTTAATATTTAAAATATATATTTACTCTTCTTTTAAATTTTATATAAGAACAATAACTATGAATAAAAACAATTACAATTACAATTACAATTACAATTACAATTACAATTACAATTTGCTGAACGTTTCTTCGCCTGCTGGTTTTAAATATTATTTACTTAATAGTTCTAATTTAAGTTTTGGAAAAAATAATAATTATGTAAATAAAGATTTTATTCGAAAATTTTCGACATCTTCTATTTATTTCGATTTATCTAATGATAATCATAAAGATATTATAAAAAATACATTTTTTAGTATTAAAAATTTTCATATTTTTACTTTATTTAGATTTAAATTTAATTTTGAATATTATCATGAGAATATTAATATTAAATATAATGATGAATTATTAAAATATTTTGGTTCAGATTTTTTAATTGATTATTTTAAAAATTTATCAAATGAAAAATTAGATCATAAAAATATAGATAAAATTTATTTATTATTTGAATTATCTGATCCAAAGGGTACTTTATATTCTGATTTATATCATAATCACAATAAAATAATTTTCGATGAAAATGGCCAATTTCAAGATGAATTAAAAGATATTAATATAATTAGATATGTAAAAATATTAGATAAAAAAGAATTTGATAATATGATTTCTATTATTTCTAACGGATATAAAGGTGATTTGGATGAATATTTTGATTTTTTAGAGGATTTTATAGATGATTTACTTACTAAATTGAAAAATAATAATATTAGATATAGTGATAATATTACCATAAATTTACTTATAGAAAAACAAAATAAAAATAAACTATTAAATATGAAATTAAATACAAATAATAATTTACTTGGTCAGATTAGCAAAAAATCATTTCATACATTGAGACAAATTAAATCTTATTCAACTAATACTAATGGATTAAATGATAAAGTTAATGAAAAATCAAACGATTCTTCAGGGAGTGATTTAATGAATCACAATGATAATAATCTTAATGATATGAATGTAAACAATTTAGATAATAATTCTATTAACAATTCAGATATTAATATTAATCAAGATTTAAATAGTAGTGATAACGTTAATCCACATCTCATTAATAATAATCATTCTGAGGAGTATTTATATGAAAATGATATCAATAAAAATAATGTTTTAAAGATTTTATTAAGTGAATTAACAATGAAAGGTAGTATTAAAAGAAATGTAGAATTTGATAAAATTAAACGTAATAATATACCAAAATCTATTTTTACTATGTTTTCTTTTGATAATACATCTTTTCATAATGATATTAATATATTAATTAAGGATGGTAAATTTACTTTAGATAAATTAAATGTTAAAAAAACTGATTTAAAATATAAATTATTTTTATCTACTTTTTTCTACGATAAAGAACATTACAATATTTTTCCTAATATTTATCATTTTAGTATACGAGATAGAGTTTTTAAATCTGGTATTAAAAACATAGTTTATGTATGTTCTGGTTTTATACATAAATTTGAACAACAACGTAAACCTGATCAGATTAGTGATGTACATGTTTATGTTTATGATATTAATTATATTTTTTCTGAAAATGATCATATTGGATTAAATATTCTTTTTAATATGTTGGATTCAACTGTTTTTATTTTCGAAAAATTGACAGTATATGATATTGTTAATAATCTTTTTCTTAATAAGTTTAAATGGTTAGATATAAAAATAGTTACAGGAAGTGAGACGAAAAAGCATATTATATCTCCTATACAATTTAATTTATCATTATTTTTAAGAGCATTAGGTTTTGATAAAAATTTTATTAGTATTAGTTTTAATTATATGCATAAATCATATACAAGGGTTAATCCATTAAATAAATTAGATAATCCTAGATTAAAAAGATTTTCATTATTTTATAAAAAATCATATCATACATTAACAAATAATTGTAATAAAAATATTAATTACAATTCTTTAAATATAAATAATATAATAGAGAATCAATCTCCTTTATTACTAGATTATATAAAAAAATATGATATAATAGAAAAACCTATTGAAATAAAATTAAAAAATATACCTAAACATATTTCTAAATATAATTTAAAAGTTAAAAATTTAATAGATCAAGTAGATATTAACAATGATAATATGTTAAAAGATTTACAGGAGTATTTAGAAAAATCATGAATAGATATTTTAAAAGAAAAGATAACTTCTATTAGTACAGCAAGAAATAAAAGTAATAAATTATTAGATAATAGTTATAATATTCTTTCAGATTATAGTAAAAAAGGTAATTTAAAAAGAAAATTCCCAAAAATTCATGATAAATTGCTTGATATATCTTATATTTATTTAACTTTTTGTATATTATTAACACATCATAAAAATAATAGCGAAACAAACTTAGCTTCTATTATAGGTAATGAAATTTTATGAAATATATTCTTAAATTATGAAGAATTAAATAAAAAATTTACTTTTAAAGAATTTAAATTAATATATACAAGAGATAAAGATGATTTTCATATTATTTTAGGATTATTTTTTATTAAATTATTCACTTTAGAAGATCATGAAAATTTTTTTAAAAGAATTTTTGATTTAAAGAGTAATATGTATTTTATTAGAATTAATGATGAAAAATATAATGAAATTTTAGAAAATATAATTATTCATCCACATAATCTACCTATGATATCACCTCCTCTTAAATGAGATGATAATGAATATGGTGGTTACTTATCTAATCCTATTAAACAAGAAGGAATTATTACAGGATCTCAATACCATAATCATAAAATTGAAAATAAAAATATTTTATTTAAAATTGTTAATAAATTAAATAATATTAAATTCAGAATTAATAGAAATTTATATAATTATTTAACTAATGATGGTGAATTTTTATTTAATCAAATAAAAAAGGATGAGCCAAAAAATTTTATTAATTTAGAAATTTCTATGGATGTTGCTAATGTTTATCTAAATATACCTTTTTATTTATTACATAAAGCTGATTGAAGAGGTCGTTTATATGTTCAATCTTCATACTTAAATTATCAAGGTGGTGATTTATCTTCAGCTTTATTAGAATTTGATATTGGGGAAAAATTAAATTATAATGGAATTTATTATTTTAAAATATACGGAGCTAATTGTTATGGTTTAGATAAAGAAAAATTTGATGATCGTGTGAATTGAATTGATAATAATCTTGAAAATATAATAAATATGGATAAAGAATTTATATTAAAAGCTGATTCACCTTTCTTATTCACAGCCTTTTGTTTAAATTATAAAAATTTTATAAAGGATCCGAATTATATTATTAGAATGCCTATATTTTTAGATGCAACATGTTCAGGTATACAACATTTTGCAGCATTATTAAGAAATAATAAAATAGCTGAACAAGTAAATTTAACTGATAGTAATGAACGTAAAGATATATATTTATCTTTAGTACCTGTTTTAAATAAAGCAATAAATAATTTTGGAATTCAAAGTATAGAATATGCTAATTTAGCATTAGTAAAATTATCTAGAAAAGAGTTTAAATCATTAATTATGACTAAAACTTATAATGTTACAGTTTATGGTATGAAAGAGCAACTTAGTAATAAATTTGATACTGTAACTGAAGATGTAATAATGAAAAATAAGTATAAAAATAATGAAGAATTTTTAGGAAAAAAAATCTTTTATATAGTTCCATCAATAAATAAAGATAATGTAAAAATAGATAATAAAGAATTAATGAAAATAGCATATATAGTTAATAATGAAATCTTTAAACAATATCCTGCTTTAAGTAAAATTTATGAATATTTAAAATTAGTTGGTATTATTTTATCTAAATTAAAATTACCTATAAATTGATTAACACCTTCAGGATTAAATTTAACTCAATCTTATAGTAAATCTTATGTAAGTAAACTT